GAGTAAAGTCCAAGAGACTATGTTAAATGTAAATATATGAGAAAATAGACGCAGTTTGTGAGCTGGGTACGGACAGGTAACAGAAAATAAACCTAAGACACATGAAATGAAATGGGATAATAGCACTGGCCTGTATTGCCTCTTATAATCTGCCCTTCCTGCTGTCCTCGCTGTGTAATTTACAGCCACCTGGAATTTTCTTCATTCCAAATGGGAAACTTGCAGCTGCATTACCTTTGCAGTTGGGCCCAGAAGAAAGTTCTGTGGCTGACACATCTTTGTAATAGGAATGACTGTAGTTCTGTGACTTCTTGAGCAGAAGAATGGTCATATCAATTCTGCATTTCAAATGACTCATCCATATAAGTGTAGACACACAAGCCAAAAGCCATTGCAAATGCAAGAATAAATGGCGCCAGTCAGACTGACCTTTACTGTTTGTTGCATCTGAAAAAAAAAAAGGTAGGGGGAGAGGAAATTAGGAATGCTATTTGCTCTTTAAAAAAACAACCGAACCCTAGTTAATTATATTCTCTTACAAAGCTACACTTAAAGAATTACTCTTTTTTAAAGCATCCCCAGTATACTGTGAGGGCTATGTATCTGTGTAGCTTTTGACCCTACAGGCAGAGTCAAATTCATCGAGTTCATCATAAGCACACTGCACTCTGCCAGGATATCAAATAAAATTCTAGATTTCCCAATTAACAAAAAATATCTTGACCTCTGACCCCAGAAAAACAACATTTAGTTTCTTGGTTATGGGATCTCAGCAGGCCTTGCTTGTGACAAGAGTAAAAGTTATTTTCTCTCTATGTTATGTTTCTTCAGCAAATTTTTTACAAATTGCTTAAAGAACCTAAAAGGTCATTTGAAAGTCTTATTTTTATTGTCACTGCCTCCAAAATACATTCCATAACTCAGTTTAATGTGATCTGCAGCAGGCCAAGAGTTTTACAAGCCAAGATATTATGTCTAGTCCAGTCAGAGACACAACAGAGTTCATTGAAGAGGGGAGAGTGAAGATCTAGTTTGAGAAATGTAATTTCGCAGTGCCTATAAAACGCGGAAGGAAAATGTCTCTCTGCATTCAATTTTGATGACTGAACGTGTTCATGACCTTTCCTAAGGTAGAGGAACCCTACCAAGCAATTTATGAGGAAATAGACAAATGTCTGAGGACATCTGTTTAACATCATGTCAAGATAAGGTTCACCTACCTCCCAGAGTCCCTGCTCCTGTAGATAACTTTTTCCTGGCTTCGTCACCCAGAAGCCTCCATAGTCCACAAGCCAGTGCAGAGAATTAGTGGGGCAGGAACTTGTTCTTGTGTTACTACTGATACCACATCTATCCACTGTGTCTCCAGATGAGGAAATGTACTGTAAGTTATTTGCACATATTAGTTGTCATTTTCATATAGAGACCCTTTATCAGGCCACTTCCATCCCCCTAAGTACAAAATAGGTCAAACTACAAGTGGATTCATCTGTGTCAGACTGACAAGAATTCAGTCATTTGAGTCTGGACCATGATTCTGTCAGCTGTTATCCTTCTGGTTGCCTGTTGATGGTGGAGAGCTTTAATCTTGCCAGTAGTCACAGAACTTCGCAGTATTTGGCCCCACACACTTAGTTTATACAAGTCAGCGGCCATCAATGTTTATGGGAACCATTCTGTCACTGAAAAGATTCTTCACATCTTTCCTTTTTATTAACTATTTTCTTGCCAATCGCAATATGACCAGCAAAGTCCCACATTGTTTGGAGCTCTTTTCTCCTAGCTGCTGGCCTTAAAAGCTTAGGTCACTGCAATATCTTAATTCCAAGTTATCTTTCTCTGTATTATAAGAGAGCTGAGATAAGTTCGAACAACAAACTGAGGTATGCAAAGAGACTTTTGTTTAATTACAGCTGCATGCTTAATTACAGCAATTCACTCAGTATTGTCATTCCTATTTGTTTTGCAGTGGCACAAAAAGTGCAATCCTGGGGTTGGTCTCCATCATGTGACTCATACAGCGAACCCAGAACAGGGCACTTGTCCTTGTCGCATGCTGCATACAATATTTCTGGTTTTCAGTCATCTGAGGGTTATACACGAGGTCCTCAGACTAAGAATTTAGTATGTTTGATAGGTAGTATCTGGGGATTCAAACAGAAATCTTACTCATATAAAGAAAAATCCTTCGTTTTCTTCCTTGTTTTTCCATGAAGATGGTTTCTACCATGGTATTTTAAGTCCGGATTATCACTTCTCAATATAAACTCCTGTAATTTTCTTCAGAGAGATCTATATGTTATTGTAAATCTGTTTAGCTTTTCCTGGTAAACTACTAATCCTGTAACTCAGGGTGATGGAGGAATTTAAACAACTGTATTCTGCTCGATGGAAGTTACAGAGTCACACATTTCTCTTTCAGTTGTTAGAGTCTCAGCCCCAGTTGTTTCTGCAGTAGTAATTGTACTGACATAAAGAAGGTTACATTGTCATAAATAAGACCAGAATTTTGGTTATTCCAGTACCGGCATTAGCAGAGCACCTCAGTTACTATTAAATGTTTGCAAACAGGAATAACAATTGCCTGTTCCCTCACTCTTCCTGTCTTACCATCTGACAAGAAAAATAGATTTGTTTTACAGTGGTTATTGTGCTCAGGTTGCAAACATGAGTAATTGTGGTCTGAGAGCTGGGGATATGTGTGAGAGCAGTCATGAATACATTTGGTTTGACACTTCTGCAAAAGTGTCTAAAATGTGGAAATCTGTTCTGCATTCAGTTTCCCAGTTCGCTTTTGCCTTCAGTGGGAAGATGTAATGTCGTCTAGACAGCCATCCTGTGAAAGTTTGGTCTCCTGTGCACATATTTCTTCTCCTTGGTTCAACAGTATAGCTGCTGTAAATAATTCATGTCCACAGAAGAGGAATACTCTCTTAGGGAGCAATGTCCAATCCTACTTTGGGTCTAGTGACAGACACTTTTGTCTGGTCTCCTATAAGCTCTTCTGAAAATCAATTGTATTAGTCTATGTTAACATGACTTTACTGTTTGGTGGCCAAGCTCACTATGGTCTGCGTTTGGCTGCATGTTATAGAGGGTACAGAATAAAACGTTCAGGGGAGAGGCAGCGCAGGCAGGTAAGCAGGGGAACTGCACGGCAAAATCTTTGCTTTTAATGAGACAGAAATGTTTCTGCTGCAGCTGTCTTACATTTGTTCTTTCACTCCTGATATAGTTCATTTTGATAAAGAAATAAGCGTTGGGTGGTCCACTGACCAAGACCCTAAGGTATTTCATAGCTCATGTCGAGAAATTAACATTTGTCACTGTGGACGTTTGGATATCAAATTTGAGAGGTATGAAAAGGTGCCAGTGGTGAGGACTGACTCAAAAGTCTGTGTCGGGTATTCTGCATCATGGAGACCAGAGCATTTTTTGAAGTGTTTTGCTCTTCTGGTAGTACATTTTTAGTCTTTCTTAATCTTAGCTTTATCAGGTGCATTTAACCTTATACTGCTTTAAGCTAAGCATCATTAAACTTGGACGATGTTGCTGATCAGTATTGTACGAAAAAGTGGGTATCATAAAAGGCTGCCATGCAGGACTCTTAGTGGTGTTTAGTAAGTATGCAAATTCTGCAGGAGAAAGGACAGGGCCTTGAAGAAAAACTTTCAAGTAAGGGTTTGATAGTGGAGGAACAGTTACACATGTGGCATTCCCAGCTCATTTGGTTAACATCAGTAACTGATGAAAGTGGTTTGACTATCAAACATAGATCAGAGTCATCCTACCTGCATGGTATCAAATGTTGAACTACACCATATTTTCCCTTTCTCTTATCCTCTTGTTTTCTATACTGATCCATTCCCTCCTCTCACTCTTGCTAGACCCTTGAGTATGACCACCCAGTTTCAGTTACATGGACTGAATATCTTAATAAGTTAGAGGTCTTAATTGTGCTACATTATAGCAGTGCAGGAAGCCCTTAACCTTTGTCTGCATTTGATTTCTCTAAGGGATTCCTCTAGACTTCATTATTTTGGGGCTCTGAATATATTTTGTACAACATAAAGTCATTGTTTATGCTTTGCATGCAGCTTAAACTTCTGAACGTGCATTTTGTACTTGAGGAACATCAAGCGTGGAGTGAACACCCCATTTGTGTCTGGAACTAAAGCCCATCCACCTGAAAATTATGGCACCAGAAAAACTAGGAGGACACTAATGCCCAGTGTGTGCACTCACATAGTCACTTGTTTCTGAATAAAAAAGGCGTCACAAATTTTAAAAGTTTTATGCCAGGGCTAGTGTTCAGAACACTTCATAGAAATTTAAGAAACAAGATTTTGGCCTAGGTTTTTCATGTAAATTCGACTAAAACATTGCAGACTACAAACGGCAAAGATGACACAAATGGGGCTAGGGTAGGAGAACATTACAGAAGAAAGGGGAGCATGTGTGAAGACAATAGTTTTAATGATTTGAATCAACTATAAAATAGTCACATTTTTAGTCTTTTAACTTTTTGGGTTGGTTTTCTTATACCTTTAAAGGGTCATATAGGATTTAATAGTGTTATAAATTCAGTTGAGCCATATAAAGATCCAAAAGCTGTTTTAAAAAATTGTTATAAAACTATAAAGTAATAGGGCAGATGATACTTTTTATGGACTGAAAAATGATACAATTTCAGAGAAAAAAAAAATCTTAAAATTCTGTGGTATTTTTCCTTAAAATGCTAAATATCAATGACAAATGTCTTTTTGCCTGACTGTTTGGAGTTACTGATGCTCCCATAGATTTGGCATACGGCATTATTCAGTATTTCTGAACTTGAGGCCCTGAGTACATAGCAACTTTTGATTTGACTCAGCTTGCATGTTAACAGGGTTTTTTTCAGCTGAAAGTCTTGTGTAATTATCGCTTCTAATTGCATTTTCTTTGGTTTTGGTTTGTTTTTTGGGGTTTTTTGCCTGCTTTTGGAATTTATGACCATCCAGTGAGAAGGACACTAAAGAGCGGACTGACACCAGAAGAAGCCAAAGCACTGGGCCTCATCAGCACCTCTGAGATGCAGGTTTGACGTCCCAGAGGTGGCGACAAGAAGGAGCCGTTCATCTGAAGCACACAGGCTGACAACCTTTCGGTGTGGCATTGACCTGCCAGCCTCCTCTGCTGCTCCAAACATCCCATCCTCTGCTAGTTTGATTTTAATAAGCAACAAGAAGTGAAACCCCACAGCCAGGGCAGAAGAAGGATGTGCTGCAGCTCAGCACGACATCCAGACAGTAACTGAGAAGGTGTTTGAGTGCTTGTAGGTGAAAGCGTATGGCGGCTTCTTTCATGGCGTGTTGATGTGGGTAGGAGGGGGCTCCCTCTGAGTTATCTGTCATGTGAGCTGTGTTTATGTTGGGTTTCCTTCTGCCCTGTTTTAGTCATTGTAAATGTATGGAATTTTGTCAATGCAAGGAACAGTCCCTTAAAGAGACAAAATAACTCCTGTTGCAGCAACCCCAATTTTCCTGAAGCAGATTCATTAAGCAAAGATTCACAGTCTGTGCAACCCTGTGGTTTGTTTGGGTTTTTTTATTATTTTGCCACCAAAGAATGTAAAAATGTATGTGTACCTTTGTATATGTACAGAATGAATGTGTGGACATGTGTGCGTGTATCTATACACAGACAGTCATGGTGTGAAATCATGCTTCTGCTGAAGCTAGCTGGGCCACCATTTTCGCTCTGGGGCCTTACCGTTCCACCTGGACAGGAGGAAAAGAATGTCTTTTTGTAGGAACTCAGTGTTATTCAGTGGGATTCACCCTAGGGGACAGGAGTTGACCTGCAATGGAAGTTAAAAGTTTAGGATCCTGAATTCATGTGTATTCATACACACTCATACTGTACATAGCAGCATGCACATAGAGGAGAGGACACGGAATACCTCCCTCTTGTTGAGCTATGGCTGTACTGTGCATTTGTACAGTTTCAAAGAGATCTATGCCAACAATTTTACATACTAGATAAATGCATTGGGATGCTAAGCTCAAGAAGTTTTGTTGACTTGCCTGTGCCCTTCATGCTGCTTTTCTCTGCTGCAAGGTAATGTGGTGGTGATTTTATTTCAAATTAGTGGATCTGAATATGAAATGGCCCTGCTAAAAGCCTGCTGTGTTTTTGCTGTTCTTTACTCCTTTTTTGTGATTATCCTTGGTGCAAGTGGAGAAGGTGCCACAGTGAACACTCCAATATATTTGCCATTATCTCGCTGTTTTATAACTGACTTTTATAACTGCCCTCAGCATGTGTGTTTGAAGAACCTTCAGTCAACTCATCTGCCTTTAAGTGGACATACACAGGAGTGAAGATGAATTGAACAGTCACCCTAGCCAGTGATGAAGCATTTTGAAGAGAACTGCAAATAACAATAACATAAAAGGGAACTTTTTAAGCCAAAGTCTGTATGTGACTAATTGATCCTCAAGGATGCACAAGAATAGCTCTTTCCATTGCCTTAGCCTCTAAGATGAAGGGTGTGTCTGCGTAGCAGTAACAGCTGAGGCTTTCTTCAAGCTAGTTGACTGGGGAACCAGTGCAGTAGGGTAGCTAGTAAACTGGGTTTAATGTTGGCTGCAAAACACTTGAAAAGTAGGATTAATTAATAGTCTATGCTGGGCTTGTAACGCCACAGCTATGTTGCTTCTGGCACCCAAGCTAGGTCAGGTAAGTCAACAAGTTATTCTACTCTGCTCTCATTAAGGACAGGATGATCGCTGAAGATCGTTCAGGATAGTTGAACCAAACACAATAAACCTTTGAAACCTCAGTCATCTGTCGCATCACACTGAGCACAGCATCCAAGAGACGAGAGAACCAGGTAGCTGATAACACTGCAATGAGATCTGTGGTGGAACATCTTATCTATGCTCTCCCCCTCTCGATCATAACATTTCATTCTTCATTTGCCATTGCCTTGGATTTTCACATGTCAAAGTCCGTGGGTAAAAAGTCACTAATGAGCAAAGATAGCATTGAGTTTGATCTGGTTTTCCCCTCAGATTGTTAAAAAAAGTCAATTGTACAAAGTGGTAGAAGGCAATAGTTGTGTAATTAATAAAATGTGTTGTGTATTTGAAAGCTGTGAAAAGGAGGAAGCTGGTTAGGAAACAGAAGGAAGTGGCATAAATTAATATCACTGTAAAATAAGAAAGACCTACAAGCATCTGGATTTTAAAGTGGATGTTTGTGTGCTGCTCACCATTACGGACTTTTTAAATCTCTCGTAAGGAAGCTTAGAACAAAGAAATGAAGGTAATGGGGGTTTGTGGAGGTCTTAGAGTTCTGAAACAAGAGGAAGACACCCTGAATGTAACGGTTATGTTGAATATATACTGGTTAAGCGATGAAAAAAGCCAAAATGTAACAAAATGCATTTATGTTGATAAAGGTCCTATATTTGATTGGAGGGAGAAAAATCAAACAAGTTTTTAAAACTGAATATTTTAATTAAAATATGCTGAATGTGCAAAGTAGGTGGCTGTTGGTGACCATGTGCTAGTAGAAACAAATTTGTGTTTCATTTAGACATAGTACAGCATCTGTGTCTGAAACATAACATAGCTGATGAATTACTAATAGTTGGGCATATGTATTTTCCAGGAATTGTGCAAATGTTGTGCAAAACGTCATATACTCCTTATCGAGGAGAAAAATTAAATATGGGGAGTAGGGTTCGAATAAGTTCAGGAAAAAAGCTGGTTTCTTTCAGATTCTCTGGATGCAAGTGTCTTACATGTGAAGCATATTCTTCCTTGTCCATTTTTCCGTTATGTTTGGTTTTCTCTATTTTTGCCCAAGTTCCTGCTCGCTATCTGTAAAACTGATAGCAATTTTTTATGAAGGATAACTTGGTCTTGTTATGCAGTAGTACACAGTAAGATTAATTCCACTGTCCTCAGTGTTTATTGCAACAAGATCATCAAACACAGTAACAATGCAGTAACTACAGAAAAGATTTCCATTTTGGTTCGTGATAAAAATGGCCAGTGGCCCAATGTGGTGATCTGTAAGGTGGCAGTATTTCCTCCGGAGTCTGCTAGCATGTCCTGACTGTGGGAATAACATTTGTTCCCCTTCATCTAGCTATGGATTCCAGATTAAATGGAGGAATTGGTTATATTTGCCTGCCTTTGTCTGTCTAGTCAGGTTGTAACCTTCAGGATTTGAGTTGCTGCCTGCCCCTCCATCATCAAAAGAGCCCACCATAAGGATGTGACAGTTGTTATAAAATGTGAGATATGGATTGTTTTTGTGACAAATATAAAGGTCTGGGAAACACGATGTAGTAACACATGTTCCCATTTCTCACTTAGAGATCCATGAAGGCTATTTTTAAACACTTGCAGCCATAATAACTACCTCTCTTCTCTTTCTCATAGTACCAGTCAGCTACAAATGTAGTGCCTAGAGTTTTGTATCTCCACCAAGCTCTCAGAGTCACTGCTGGTGTTCATTTCAGCACCCATCTGCTGCCAATAACTTGTCTGTCTACCACCATAATGCCTTCCTGATTTGGATGCTGAGGTAAACTTCAGCGTATGAAATGGCCGCCAAAGGGAAGCTATCCTAATTTCCCTTCATCTCCCTTGGTCTTTAAAAGCAGACAGCATTCAAATACTTTATATTCCCTTGCTCCCAACTGAGGGATAACTTTCAGTAGCAGTTATGTGGCTGCGGTGAAGAAACACCCCCAGGGATTGCTGTGTGCCACAATCAAGAGTGAAAGATCCCTCACAAAAATTAAATTCATCACTCTTCACCTTTCAGTAAGGCCAGGCACCAGGCTCATGGATTCCAGATGTTTTATAGCTCCTTGGCTTCTACATGTGACCCTTCTGTTTGATAGATCCCTGCCCATAATCCAAAATCAACAAAAAAATGGTGTTTTAATGAGGGTCTTTCTTGTTCCCATAAATACTGGAAACAGTGTCAAAAGTAGTTTTCAAAATACATTTCTTTTTCTCTTTTGACCCCCTTTTATTTTAAATCTCTGTAGTGATTGAATCTGTCGACAAAATAAGGCATCAGATTTATAGATAGACAAGACTTTGACTTTAATTTAATAGGAAGTCACATGTGAATATCTAGATAAGAGTTCATGCCCTGATTTAACAGAAATTTGGAGTCAGAGTCTTGATGTAGCTGAGCAGCAAGGGTCTCTGGCAAGGTGCTCCATTCTCCTCAAGGTACTAGACAATGTGGCAGGACAGCACCTTAAATCCCCAGAGTGCTATGCTCTAAACGTACCCTGGTGAATGCTAAAAGCCATTGAAAAGTCACAAGTGAGGACTGCAACATCTACTGCAAACCTAAAGGGCACGATGCCACTGTAGGTGCAGTAAATGGTTCCTCTTGCCAGGCCTCCGCTCTACACCAGCGTGTCCCTGGTAGCGTCACAACAGCAAGTGTCCATCCAAGAGGCTTTAGGAACTATTTTGCCGATGGTAGTAGTCTTGAATGCGGGTGTGTGTACGCTGTGTGGTTATTGTTTTTACAATGCTTTGATTTCACTGATGAAACGGGGACAAGGCGGCAGCCTACCAGTTTCACATCCTTTAGCCTCCTGCTACGACACGGAGGCAGGCGCTCGCGCTGCCTGCCTTTTTCTAAAGGATGTACAGGGACGTGGTGTCAGACAGAAGCACGAGCATTTCCCCCTCTCTTTTTCACTCCTGTACCCTCCTCTCGTTACCTGCGAGGCGGGTTGTGGGTGCGCGCACAGGCAGAGCCTGACCCTGTGCCGCGTTGGGATGATGGCTCTGCGCTTCCAGCGTCGGGATGCCAGAAACACTTCCCTAAGCTGTAAGGACTACGACTGTTGATGTTTCTCTGCAGGGAAAACTGCCAGGTACTTACAGGCTCTGAAAGAAAATAAACTGAAGCGTTTTTGAAAAAGAAAATGTTTGGTTATAGAGCACTGTTGAAAATTGTTTGCAAACACTTGAACAACACGTAAGGCCTACCTTCCTTTTTTTTGACTGGGACAGCAACTGGCTCAGTTGGCATTTCAGATGCGATCCCAAGAGGTTTTTGGCAAGCAATTTAGTAGTTACATAGCAAGTAATGCAAGGCGTTTCAGAGATGTTGTATAGTTAATGTTTACGCAAAAGAAAAAAAAGTAAAAATTTCTAATTAGTCCATTTCACATTGAGTGGCAGATAGAAATATATTTTGTTTAATCACTATCTGATACAGAGGCTTCTGTGAAAGAAAAGGTTTATTTGTAGCATTGGGTGCATTTCTCCTTTTTAAAGACTGTCTTTGCGCGTATAGTGTCCTTTTATTGTGAGCTGGGAATTGTAAAAAAATGTAAAGTAGACAAGGATGTGGTTCTTAGACGAAGGAGAAATACTGTAAAATTGTGTAAATGTCACTACTCATGTTTTTTCATGTTCTGTGTAGCATAGTGTAAAATAGGCTTTCCAGCAGTGTTATTCTGTGAATTGTAATTTAAAAAACAAGCCATGCATGGTCAGAGATATTATCTACAGGTCCTTTTGGTTGAGTTTTTGGTTTTGTTTGTTGTTTTCTCATTTTAGGTGAATTTGTTTTATGTTAAATTTAATTGTCCATGAAACTGCA